TTTTATAACTACTCTTGTCCTTTTTCAAATTAAGTAATAAAATACAATTATTTTTATTAATAATCAAGGTGATTAACCATACTAATTTCATTTTCTTTTTTGCTCTGTTCTATCTATACCAGTAGCCCAAAGCCCAAGGGCCCAGATTCGTTAAAACCCAAAACAGATCAGACTAAGACCAGCCCAATATCATATGCCCCAGACGGCCCAGTTTCGAACCAGGACTAAGCCCAGCCCAATATAGATAAGCCCAATCGACACACTTTAGTTTAAACCCAAAACTGACCAGACTAAGCCCAGCCCAATATATAAGCCCAATGGGATCACTTTCGTTAAAACCCAAAATAGATTAGACGAAGCCCAGCCTAATATCTATTAGCCTAAAACGCTCAGTTTCGAACACGATATTAAGCGCAGCCCAATATTTATAAGCCCAATGGGCTCATTTTCGAGATTAGGACTCAGCCCAACCGAATAGATATAAGCCCACTTTCGTTAAGACCCAAAATAAATCAAACGAAGTCCAGCCCAAGTACCACTCCGCCAAGTCCTTCAAGGACAAGAACAATCTCCGCCACCATGACGCTCTTATCCCCTCCCTCCCTGACCACCACACCGTCGCCGTCGTCAAGCTGACCAGCAACGGACAGACCGTGCCCACCACGGCAGTTCACGCCCTCAACTTCCACGAGGCCGACTTTACCATCGGAGTTGCAAACGGCAGTGGCGTCGGTTGCGGAGGACTGATGCTTCTGATAACAGGAATCTAAGTCGTCTTCCTTGCGTTACGTCTGTTGGAGAGGGAATAGAATTGGTTAATTTTGACGGGAAGGATGAGGACAAAGAAAGGTTCAATTTATCGGTTTATTGTGCTTCGATCCAAACAGATCCAATGGGCCCAGCATATCCAAAAAAGATCAGACTAAGCCCAGCCCATATAGAAGCACAATGGGCCCAGCATATCCAAAACAGATCAGACCAACCCCAGCTCAATATCTAGTAGCCCAACGGGCACAGTTTCGAAACCATGACTAAGTCCATCTCATAGAAGCACAATGGCCCACTTTCATTAAAACCCAATACAGATCAGACAGACTATCCCAATATCTATAGGCCCAATAGGCCCAGTTTTGAGCCCACGGTTAAGCCCCGCCCAATAAACCCACGTTCGTTAAATCACAAACCATAACAGACAAAGCCCAGCCCAACATATAAGCCCGGCCCATTTCGGAGACCAGGATGAAGCCCGGCCCAATATATTTAAGCCTACTTTGGTTAAAACCCAAAACAAATCAGACTAAGCCCAGCCCACTATGTGTAAGCCCAATCGGTTCAGTTTCGTATAACAAAAAACAGATCAGACACAAAGCCCAGCGCAATATCTATAAGCCCAAAAACAGATCAGACGATTCCCTTCCCATTATATATAAGCCATTGGGTCCAGTTTCGAGCCCATGACTAAGCCCAGACCAATAAATAGAAGCCGAATGGGCCCACTTTAGTTAATAAAACCAAAAGAGATCAGACCAAGCCTAGCGCAATATGTACAAGCCCAAATGAGCCGAATTTCGTGCCCCAGTGACTAAGACCAGCTCAATATATAAGGCCAATGGGCTCAGTTTCGTAAAGCAAAAATTGAGTTCAGAAGCTTTTCTCTATCAGAGCCAGGTTTCGATCCTGGGACCTGTGGGTTATGGGCCCACCACGCTTCCGCTGCGCCACTCTGATTTGTTGAATAAATGGTAAAGTTTCATTAATTTTTAAGTATTTGTCTATAAATCGAAGCAACGTGAGAATAAAATTAAATCCTTTTTTTGACCTTCAATTATTTATTTATATTATATATTTTATATTGCTTTGTTCTTGATTCATAAAATATATATTATTAAAAAAAAAAAATTCAATATATATATATTTTTAATTTTCTTAAAAACTTGATAACTCAAAATACTCGATCCAAATTCATGCTGTTTGAGTGATTTGTATTTGAATAAATGAAAATTTTGTCCATTGAATTGTTTCATGAATTCTATTTAAATGAAATTGGATTAAATCAAAACTAACCCGATTTTAGTCTAAAATTAAATTGATATACAACAGTCAAATTTTGATAAACTATCTAATCATAAACTAAATTCACTTTTAACGTAGATATTTTTGACCAAAAGATCAAAAAAATTTCATCTCTCACCCACATATTATTGAACTAAAAAAAATAGTTAAAACTCGATAAATTAAAGTAAAAACTCGATCACTAAAATCATATTTTAAAATTTGGGTAAATATATAATAGTATTTAGTCGATCTTTATTATTAAACTACCCAATTAATATTCTTATATTAGTCAAGTCATTAGACAACCCAATTAATATTCATAGAAGAATTTTATTGATTTTGTTCACATTTACATCTATGCTGGGTGTTTGGATTTTATCATATGATACTTGTTTATATATTTATTATAATGCCAAAATGCTAGTAGGACACATTTAATTCATCCATGCATTTAAAATATTGTTTTTATCTTATTATATGATATCGTTTCATCTATTTAAACTCATATCATATTATATATATGTGTGAGAATCGAATTAAGTCGGGCTAAGACATTTTTAAAAAATTTATGTCGTAAAATTTAGACTAATAATTATATAAATTTAAATCATAAATTTTCATACTGAATCAATTTATTTCCATTTAAAGTCAGTTTAAAATCATGTAAATAAAATTAGTGTTGTTTCAAAATTGTATTGAAATAGTAAGAAAATTGTCATATAATTATTATGATAGAAAAAAATACAATAAGATACCAAATATATCCTTAAAAAGATATTATTTATTTAATTTCAGCAATTTTATATAATATTTTATGGCTTGTTGAGATAAATTAAACGAAATAAATATTAAATAATAATGAGATTAGCGAAATTATTTTAATTTTTTATAAATGTTTCAAAATAAAAATATTCTAACTCCTATGTTTCCAAATATGTTGGAAGGCAATGGTCAAGGAAACAAATATTGGGTGGCTAATTAATATCAAGATAAAAGGACTCACAAAATAAATATTTTAAAAATTCAAAACAAAAAATGAAACAAATTTGTCATGTAAAGACGCGTACTCATGGTATTAAATTTGTCATGTAAAGACGCGTACTCATGGCTTTGCTTTGCGTTTTCTCAAAATACCTCGTACCAATGGAAATAGTATTCCTTGATTATAAATTCATGATCATTCCCTAAATTAGCGGACGTGGGACTTTCATCCAATATGATATGAACCAAGAGACATCAATCATACAATATACTTCAATGAAGATATGAAGAAAATATTGTCAAAATTATGAAAAGATGTTTCAATTCACGCTACATTGAAGAAGAATAAAGTTTGATTGTTGTAAATTTTGGGTGGGTTACAATTTAGAGTAATTTAGAGTTATTGTATTTCATTATTGTATTTTAAGACTTTCAATTTACTTTAGGTTACAATTACATAATGGTTTATTATGACCATTACGTATGAATACAACTCTTGAAATGCCTTTAATAGTTTCATTTTGAGGCTATATAAAGTCATGTATGTTGTATTTGTAAGAAGACTTGGAAGATATAGTAAAAGGAGCATTTGTGCTTTCTTAAGCCAATGACTAAGTTTTTTTGCAATTCTATGAAGTTTAGGTTGCATGTAGAATCATTCAAGCTCGACATGATCAATCTTGCTTGTGGAGTGATTAGAATTTCAATCAAGTGTTCTTGTCTTGAGATATTTGATCAACAAGAATCATTTAAGCTAGACATGATCGATCTTGCTTGTGGAGTGATTCGAATCTCAAACAATGTTCTTGTCTTGAGATATTCGATCAACAAGGTAATCCGAATCTTATTCCCCTTGTAGTTGATTTCTTATCTTATCACAATACCTTCCCTCAAATAAAGTATGTCTCCCCTTAATTAACGTTCAACTCTTTTTCTTTTGGAGTCCTAGTAATTTTTTACTATGCCTACTCCTTTTCTTTTGGAGTTCTTTGTTCGACATTTAAGGATTTGACATGGCTAAGCTAGGGCATGGTCATGCATTTTAAAAACCTTGAACAGAAGCCCGAAAAGGAAAGCCTAAAGTGGATAATATCATACATTATGGAGAGTTGTATTCATCTAACACGGTATCAGAACCATTCTTCTAACATGGTATCAAAGTCATGCCCTAAACTTAGCTATGCCAATAGAATTCTCAAATGTCGAACAAAGGACTCCAAAAGAAAAAGTCGAAGGCATAGTAAAAAATGACTAAGACTCCAAAAGAAAAAGAAGTCGAGCCTCAATTAAGGGGAGGCGTACTTTGTTCGAGGGGAGATGTTGGATGAAAGTCCCACATCGGCTAATTTAGGGAATGATCATGAGTTTATAATCAATGAATGCTATCTCTATTGGTATGAAGTTTTAATACCGGCCTTCATGAATTCACACGAGCCTCCTCCCAACAATGACATATTCTTTTGATTGCGACATTAGTTCGCTCTATTTGTTGGTATAACATAGAACATAGATCTTCTCACGCCATAGCCAATCAAGAAGTCAAAGTAAGACTAAGTCAACACACCGGGCACATTTTTTTCACTTGTTATCTTCTAAGATATTGTTAGTATAACATCGGTTCATTGATGTCTCCTCCATAACTTGTAAGACCGTCAATGGGGCAACACAAGGTTGAGTCAGTGAACTCACTTGGTGCGGCCGCCTCGATCGATGTTGTCGTTTTGGATCTTCCTCACTTGTCATCATAGGTAACGACATCAAAGGTTATTGCAACACGAGTCTATTTAAGGATTAAATTAATGCAATAAAAAGAAGGTATTTTCAATTGTGATTAAAAGGTGTGGAAAACAAAATAGGGAACGTGGGAGGTAGTACAGTCACCGACGTGCCCAAAATGGCTTCGGCTGTTCCCACCTTCCCTTACCTTTTACTCCTTTTCCATATTTATTATTTATAATTTCTTCTTCTTCTTCTCCATCCTCCATTTCTTCTCTCAAAACCCACCCACTGCAACCATTGCTCCGACCACCGCCACCCATAATTCATAACCCCCAAATGGGCAAGGCCTTCAAATGGTTCCGTGGCCTTCTGGGTCTCAAAAAACCCGACCCACCCTTCACACCTTCTCCTTCTAAGCGCAAGCCCAAGTGCCACTTCACCAAGTCCTTCAAAGACAAGAACAAGCTCCGCCACCATGACGCCCTCACCCCCTCCCTCGCCGTCGTCAAGCTGCCCAGCAACGGACAGACCGTGCCCATCACGGCGGTTCACACCCTCACCTTCCACGAGGCCGACTTTGCCGCCACCAAAATTCAGGCTGCATTTCGTGGACTTCTGGTTTGAAATTATTCTACCATTTCATTCTCTTTTATTTTTTGTTTAGAATCTCAATTAATTAACTTACATTATCCTTTCTCATTGGGATTACCAAAATGAATCCTTTTTTCATTTTTTCTTTCAATCTTAGCTGTTGGGTGTGATCCACACTCATCTCAAATCAAATCAAATAAATAAAATTAATTGGAATTTTGAAACATGAAAGTTTCTTCTGGACGGCGTCGTTTCGGCGTCGTTTACCCCTAACCTTATGGAAACCTCCCTTCAGTTTTGCTCCCTGTACCTTCAAATCCCTTCCAATGGCCACCGCATTTATTTATCTATTTATTTGAAAATTCTGTAAAAGTAAAAAAATAAAGTAAAATCCATTTTGAAAGTTCCCTCTTTTCTTCATTTGGATAGAGTAAAATCCAAATGGCCACCGGTCTATTTCAAGTAAAGTAAAAAAAAAAATGTGATTCTTAGGGTAAATAACTTACCTTTCACCCTTTTTACACTAACCCAACTGAAAATATCAAGGATTATAGGGACCCATTTGAGATATAGCAATAATTGAGGGGTCAAACCTAATAAAATTTGAAGCCAAGGGTTGTGGTTGCTGTACAGCAGATATTTTCATTTTTGGCTTATAAAAAATTATTCCTTCTCCTCTCTAGCCAACTTGAGATCTCAATATGGTTCGATTGTTTGGTTGTTGTTGTGCATGATTTTACGAAGGCAAGGAAGGCATTGAGGGCACTAAGAGGGTTGGTGAGACTTCAGGCATTGGTTCGAGGCCATATCGAGAGGAAGCGGACGGCTGAATGGATACAACGAATGCAGGCGTTGCTAAGAGCACAAACACGGGCACGAGCGGGCTGGAGTCGATCGGCTTCTGAGTTGTGTGAAACACAGTCCTTTAGTCCATTTGAATTCCCTCATGAAGTTGAGGAGAGCTCTTTCTTTTCTGGTACGAGTACAAAGAAAAGCCCCGTCACCCCGACCAGTACGAGGAGCTATTTCAGTGGCGACTCGGAATATCCGAGCTACATGGCCTGCACTGAATCCTCAAGAGCCAAAATGAGATCTCATAGCGTTCCGAGACAGCATCCTCAATATGAGAGATCGAGCTCCGCTAAGCAGAGTTCTATATACGTCGTTGAGGATTCGAGATTACAATCAAATATTGTTGGGAAAGCCTACCTTGGTTCTGGTCTACTGGACAAACATGGCATGCCTGTGAGTTACAGATACTGATGCCAGTCCTAATAATAATAATTGGTGTGTCGATGTCGATCGGAGTCGAACTTTGAGACTCGGGAATGGTCGAGTTTATATCTCTAGAACTAGATATACATCATTGTTCTTACAATTTTTCATGTTAGTATTGGTAATGTATATTCTTTTGTTCTCTACCTGCCTTAGTTTTTCTCTTATTGACCCCGAAAAGTGACTCGGCGACGATCATTCAATCTGCCTCGATTTGCCAAAAGTTTTAGAACAAACACAAAATACCAAAAGAATGGATAAAAAACCTCATCAAGAATGGCTAATTTGCACAGTCCCATTTTGAAGTTGGCACACAGCTTAGCTAATGGCACCAGCTGCTGTGCTTGTGTCCACTGTCCCCCTTGAATAGCATAGCCGGCCCCATGGTAAAGCTGTGCAACACACAACAAACTGAATTAGTTAACTCGATTCGAACATGTCGTAAACGGGATACAGGAAGCAACAAAGAATCCAACGCTATCTTGTTGAAAGTAATAAGTTGTAACATCTCTACCGCGAGGACATATTGTCCATTTTAACTCGTTACGTATCGTCGTCAGCCTCACGGTTTTAAAACGTGTATTCTAAGAAGAGGTTTCCACACCCTTATAAGCAATATTTCGTTTCCCTTTCCAACCGACGTGGGATCTCACAATTCACCTCTCTTGGGGGCCATGTCCTCACTGGTACAACGCCCGGTGCCTAGCTTTGATATTATTTGTAACAGCTCAAGCGCACCGCTAGTAGATATTATCTGTTTTGGCCCATTATGTATCGCTTGAGTCTACTAAATGATCAAAAGGCAAGAGTTTTGAGGGTTTACCCAGCAACTAGTAGACTTGCAGCAGCCAGCCAGAGAATATACTGATAAGTTTTATACTTGGATACACGACGAGTACACGGTGGGAGATGGTTGCGCTCGGCCCATTTGAACTGCAGTCGTATAAGCAACACAAACCCGAGAAGTAATCCTGTTAAGAATCCTCCAATGTGGGAGAAGTTGTCCACATGAGGCAGCACACCAACTGCCAAGTTAATTACTACGATCACAATGAGGGTGAAGAGTGAAGCAGCCTATAAAAACACATCACACCAAAAAGTAAACAGACAAAGCTGTTACAAACACAAATATTCAATGTCGGATTCAATGTCTGGCAGCTAACCTTGTTGGAGTAGATTGCCCAGTTCACTAAAAGCTCGGATAGCATAGCTCCAAGAAGTCCAAAGAGGGCACCCGAAGCACCCAAAGAAATATTGTTTTGGATGAACAGGGAAGACATTACGCTCCCGCCAACTCCAGTAACAAGATATATTATCCCGATTTTCACTGCAAGAATCAATCAGTTTTATAAGAATGAAAATAAAACTAAGCTCCCAACAAGATATTGTGTCTACTAGGGAGAGGTTTCCACACTCTTATAAGAATTGCTTCGTTCTCCTCTCCAACCGATGTGGGACCTTACAATCCACCCCCTTCGGTCCCAACGTCCTCGCTGTCACTCGTTTCCTTCTTTAATCGATGTGGAACCCTCCCAATCCACCCCCTCGAGGGTCCAACATCCTTGCTAGCACATTGCCTCATATCCATCCATTTTGAGCTCAGCCTCCTCACTAACACACGAGTCCACAGTTAGCAGATATTGTAAATCCAAATTGTTGCTCAAGACGGATCCCAATCAAAGCCAAACTCAACATATTTGCAAGAAGATGAATGATTCCAGCGTGCAACCAGATACAGGACATAAGTCTCCATAGTTGATGCTGACGAACAATCTTATCCCATTTCAAAGCTTCCAATTTCAACAGTCTTTAGAGAAAATCAATGAAATTAAGAGGAACGAAGGATCAAACCAAAACAGAGCAGATGGAGATGAAATAAAGGGGGTAAAAACAGAGCAGCCGCAGTGACATACGTATTTGAAGAGGGACCCAAGAGGGGATTCTCCTTGAAAGGCTGCAACGAAAACCGCCCAAGAAAAGTGGCCACACACCCTATCTCCATAACCCAGATTGGAAGTGGGGCAATTATTGACGTACATGATCATAATGAACATAGCAATATTAGCCACAACAAACATAGGAACCAACCATGGCGTCCATTGCTTCTCAGAAGAAGAATAGCTCGCATTCGAGTCACTACGTTCCCACAGAAACACTCTGTTTCTCTGTTTTTTACAGAAGTTAAGGTTTCTCAGTGAATCAGTTGGAGCTGGAATAGCCGAGCTCTGTAAGTTATTTCATGGTGACTATTGGGAGAGGAATTTACGATTACACCCCTCACTTGAGATGGAATAATCACAGGAAGCGGAATTTATTTTAATGGAAAATTGCTTTAATTATTTTCAATATATATAGTCAATATAAGAATTTTATATATTTAAAACAAGTTTTAAAATTTAAGCTAAATTATCTCAATTATTATAAAATATTTATTTTATTCTCATAGAAAAAAAAAAGTCAAACTCTTAAATGATTATTTTTAATATAGAAATTAGATGAAATATTTACTATAAATATTTTAGTCTTTATAAATTTTTATTCAAAATCGATGTGAATTTAGTAAATACTATATTTTGAAAAAATATCTGTTTCAAATAAAATCTATAATATATTTACCATAAATCCCTTAAAATTATACGATATTATCTTTGAGCCACGTGGCAAAAAAATAATTTTAAAAAATTGAAATAAATGAGAGAGATTAAAGGGGAGAGGGCATTTATGGTAATTGATAAACGAATGGAAGTCAAATACCATGGAGAACATAACGTAGGTGGTGGGGGTTCGTTATTTTCACACGCGCCAATAACGCGTTATATATTTTATAATTATTTATTCTTCAACTGTTTTTCAAAAAATAAAATTACAAAAATAAATTTAATGTTATTTTTTAGAAATATATATATATATATATATATATACAAATTGAATGGTAAATTAAGGCTTTAGACGTAGAATAATACCAAAGTTTGGTCTATGAATTCTAGAAAATCTCATATTAGATTCATTATGAAGACAACCGGTCAAAACTTGACCAAAAGTGGCAAAAAGTTGGCATAACCAATAAAGAACTAGAGAAAAATCGGGGCAGGTAAAAAAAAAAACTAAAAAAGAATAGTTGTAGGTTCGTACCTCAGGTTTGAGATCCTAGCCTAAATTCGAACCTAAGGATTGGCAAGCATCCCATTTGAGCCATAGAACTCATCCCAAACCTAATCAAGCTCAGAAGCCCGAACGACCTCAATAGACAAAGATAGATCAAAGCATCGTGCACTGACTCAACTAAAGCTTACAACGAGACATTTTATGTATTTTAATGTATACAATCTGGAGTTTTAAGCCCATTTGACTCCTAGTACCTCACTTATCACCAACCGTGCAAACTCAGACACACTTGAAAAAGAAAAAGTAACAATAGCAAGTACAAATAAATTCAAGTAAGAAGACATCAATTTCATGTGTCTAACTGATAGGTTTTTCAATAGTAATAACCTATAACCTAAACTCTCAATCTTAGGTTATTCACACGAAAATTAAATTATATTGTAATATTGAAATTTAAATTTTTAGAAATTATACTGAATATTGTATGATAAATTTTTTCGAGATTTTACATTATATATATATATATATATATGTATGTATATCTTTTTTTTCTTTTTTAATTTGTTGGAGTAAATAACTTAAAAGATTGAAATTAAAATTGAAGAGACTAGGAAGTAACAATTACAAAATACCGATTGTCATTCTTCCAGGGGTTTTCCGTCATTTTACTCGTTCACCAACCGACCCAGCCCGGTTCATTTTCCACGGTTTCGTCTTCTACAAGGACCAACCGACCAACCACCCAACCTAAGCCCATCCCCAAAAGCTCAAGAAAGAAAATTACAAAATAAAACAAATAAATATTTTAAATTTGTATATTTTCCAGCTCGCGTGTCCGGCACGTGATATTCATCGTCCGGTCGGGACCCGGTTGTGGTCTCCTCTTGTCTCTGAAATCTCTAAATCTTCTTCTCATTCGTGACCTCCGACGACGACGCGGTTTAATGTCAGGAGCATTGAGTTCCGAGTTCAAGCCATGGCAACGCAGATCCATCTGGGTTTTCAGAGTTCTCATCCAACGGCTCAGCATTGATCTCCCACAAGGTCTCACCTTCTTCCGACAGTACGTGATTCTGTCCCACCATCTCTTCTTCCTCTTCCTCTTCCTCTTCCTCTTCCTCTTCCTCTTCCTCTTCTTCTTCCTCCTCTCTCCTGCGCTTCACTCCGATTGAAACTCCGAACAGTTTCGGCGCCGTTCGCTTCGCCGGCGATGCCGTCGTTGTCTCCTCAACCTTCAGTCTCACCTCCTGAACCCCGTCGCTGACGGGGCCGTCGTCTTTCATCGCCTGTCTCGCTGGCAAGAGCTCCAGCGCCTTCATGTCGCGGACGCTCACCGACTCCAACTGGTGGTGGTGGCCCGAAGCGTAATTCGTCATCATCGATAGTATGTTGTTACAGAGCCCTTTCAACTGAGTCAACTCGTGACTCAGTTGCATGTTCTCCTTTCTCAACCGCTCGTTCTCCCCCATAAGTTCCGGCGAGGTGGTGCAGCTCGTACCTCGCTGAAATGCCATCGGCGATGAGTTCGAGGATGTCACCTGCTCTTCCCCAGAGTTCGACGGCGATATCACATGAGCCACCACTGATGGAGACGCCGCAACTAACACCGGCCCAGATACGGCCGTCGTCGTCGTCGTCGTCGCTGAAGACAACGCCACTTTCCGCCGCTGAATGTCTCGGAGAAGTCCTTTCTCACCTCTCCGGAAACAATCATTCGCAAATTCCCATCGGTCCGGCACAACCTTTCGAAATCCCTAACCCGTATTTTAAAGAACAATAAGACGGAAAATTCCAGAAACAAACAACCATTGTTCCAAAAGAGAGAAAAAATTGGGAAACGGTTGAAACGGCAGAAACTTACGTAAGTGTTAAGCTGACGAACGAAACTAGAAAAATTATTGTGTTTAAAGTATTTGGGAAGTAAATCTCGAGCGAATTCGGCAGGTCGCCAAACTATGAAGGTAGATCCGTCATCGTTCCACGAGATGAAGTCGTCGACAGCCGAATCATCAACCAACTGATAAGTTTTCGTAAGAAACGGCGTCGGAATAGATCTCTGAGAATCTCCTGATCCAGAGTCGACGATCGGTTCCGCCGTCGACGGAGCCATCTCCTCTTCTCCCAGATCTAAACCGTAAGGATCTCCGATTCAGGACAACTCTGGCCTCAATCTGATCAATTAAACCTCCCTCCGGATTAGAATCCGAAGAAACAAAAAAACACACTAAAAAGAAGAAATAGTCAAAATCGGGCAATGGAGCAATAGTTTTTCAACAGTTACTCGAAAAACTCGAAGAACTCAGAATCCGGAGATGATAAAACACCCAGTGTCCTTGTACAACGAATTGAAGTTGAATGATATAAGAACACAGAAATAGACGTCAAATCAATCGAATTAAAAGTTGCCATAGCAATTACCCCGAGAAGATTGTGGAATCAGAATCAGAGGAGTAAAAACACCGCCGTGCCTGAAAATGAACCTCCGCCACTGCAGCGCCAGAAGCTCCGCATAGAGAGAGAGAAAGAGAGAGAGAAGTTATGTTGTTTCTAGAAGTTTCTGGGTAAGGAAAAGAATATGATAAGGAAGAGAAGGGAGGTTCGAGAAGGAAAGGGGAAATTTAAAAAATAAAAAAAAAAAATAAAAAAATGGAGGTGGGGACCACAACAGAAAGGATAGGGATAGGAAGGTACCAGAAGCTTGCGATGTCTCTTTATCCCTCGTGGATTTTCTTATTTCTTTATTTATTTATTTACCCTTTTTCGTTTGGGCCGTTTTGTGGGCTTAGAGTCCAACTATTGGCCCAATTATGAAACCTAACCCATTGAGCTAAATTAATATATTCTCTAATTTTACACTTCCCTTCGAATCCCATTGTTCTTGGTAGATATGAAAATTGATTTTTCATTTATAAATTTTGCAAGTTGGTCCCCATTATAATTTATAAATATTTACCATTTGCCCCTCTTACACGAAGATGTATTTTAGAAAAGTTGGTCGAAGACAAAGACTCATGTGTCAAATTTCAAGAAGGATATTCAAAATTTTGTCTATTATTAAGTATTTCTAGAAGGATATCCGAAATTTTGTCATTTCTAGAAGGATATCCGAAATTTTGTCATTTTCTAAAAAAAAAAAAAAAATCTTTTTAAATGAAAATTAAAATATGAAATATATATATATCATTGTATGTACTGAGGAGGGAAGCGAAGCGTTTATTGTAAGATTGTGAGAACCTCTCGATGCATTTTAAAACCGTAAGACGGACAATTATGCATTTTAAAACCGTAAGACGGACAATTATGCATTTTAAAACCGTAAGACGGACAATTATGCATTTTAAAACCGTAAGACGGACAATTATGCATAATGGGCCAAAATGGACCGTATTTGCTGACAATGAACTTGGATGATTAAATATACTATGACAACTTTTAAAACAAAGAGCAGACCCGAGAAGTACCGCAAATAATCGAGCCCAATTGTAGCTCTTTCTAATACAATAAAACAAGCATAAGAGAAGATATCCAAACATACATGTCTACAAGGAACAACATTCAGCTTGTGTGACCAATAGATACATGGTTATAAGAATGAAGTAAATTCTCATAACCATTTCAGAAACTCAAACAGAAAAAACCAGTAGAGGAGGGGATAAATACCCATTAAAGTATATATTGAATAATGATGAACCAAAGATGTGGTGTGAGAGGTTCCTTCCTTGTAAGCTTTTTGTTCAATACCTCTGCACTATGTATGGAAGTACATGTACTTTTTAAGCTTTCTTCTGGTATCCCCATGGATTGTTGTTTGCCCAATTCCATTGGTCCCTACACATTTCATCTACGCCATATTTTGCCCTGAAATCACAGCACCAAGCAAAAACCAAAACCAAATGAACAATGTGTTTCGAGGAGGCTGCCTCGACAAAGACTAGATTGAGTTACTTACGTCCAACCGAGTTCTTGCTTGGCTTTCTCCGTTGACGCATACACCGCCGTTGCATCACCAGGCCTCCTCGGGCATAGTTTAACAGGGATTTTCTGGACAATAAGAACAACCAACACAAGATTATGTATAATTCTTAGCAAAGCATAAAGGGAGAGACGAAAGAGGACAGGACGGGCATAGACCTTGCCGGAGGCCTTCTCGAAGGCTGCAACCATTTCTAGCACAGACGTGCCTTGTCCAGTCCCTAAGTTGTAGGCTGTGCACCCTAGTAGAATAGGTCGATATGCGTCAACCAACGTTCTTAAACAGAAATTTCTCAAACTAGTTCGATATGTAGTTTAAGGAAAATGGCTACCTATATCTTCGTTCGTAAAAAGCTTTCGAAGAGCAGCAATGTGACCATCGGCTAGGTCCATAACATGGATATAGTCTCGAACCTTTTCGTAGAAAAGTATCGAATTTCAAGTAAGTTAAGCGACTATGGCTACCATTGGATTGGAACTCATAACAGCAAAAGTACTTACAGCGCTGCCATCCTTTGTTGGATAGTCATGACCATATACATTAAGCTCCGGCAGTCTTCCTACTGCAACTTGCTGAATGTAAGGCATGAGATTGTTAGGAATACCCTTTGGATCTTCGCCAAGTTTACCACTCTCATGAGCTCCAACAGGGTTGAAGTATCTCAACAAGATTATGCCCCATTCGGGCTCGGCTTTTTGAATGTCTCGAGCGATCTCTTCCAAGAAAAGCTGTAAAAAAAACGTAAATAGGAGAGGAACAACACTTCCAATCAGAAAATTCCCAGCATTTTAAGATCCAATTCTCGCACGGGCGGATAGAAACACGAACATGATTAAGTGTAATCGAACCTTGGTTCGTCCATAAGGATTCAGTGCCACTAAACCAAAATCCTCAACACATGGAACTTTCTCAGGCTGACCATAAACAGTTGCAGAAGACGAGAAAACCATCTATTCCCAACACATTCAGGAGCAAAAATCAAAGCATAAGCATAAGCATAATCAATTCAGAAAGATTTTAAAGCATCTAGAACAGGAATATCTACCTTCTTACAACCATATTTTGCCATAACCTCATAGAGATTGATGGTTCCAACAAGATTATTATCAAAATATCGTCGTGGGAAAGCAACGCTCTCCCCAACAGCTTTGAGGCCAGCAAAATGTATAACAGCATCAAATCTTACACAAGAAAACCCCCAATTCATAAACATTAACTCAAAACAGAATCATCAAAGCTCTCTGGATCATTCATTCGTACCTCGTTTTTGAAAACAATTTCTCCAAGTCCTCCTTATTCCGCAGGTCCCCCTACAAACAAAAACGAGAAAATTCAAAATCAAAACGAAAGAAGATAGCAAAATCGTTAATCGTAACAAACAGTATACCAAATTAAACTCGAGTCTGTCGGAAAGATTAGGGCCAGCCAATTCCCGGACACGATCAACAGCTTCAACAACCGAATTATCAAGATTATCAATAATCGAAACCCGAAATCCTTCTTTAAGAAGCAGAAGAACAGTGTGGCTGCCGATGAATCCAGCCCCACCGGTGACGAGTATCGTCCGCTCTAAGCTCCCCATTTTACACAGAAAATGACAGCAATTCGAAGATCCAAAATCACTTTTTGTCTCGGGAAAGTTACAGAATATCTTCTGTGAGATGAAAATGGTAGAAGGAGAATGAGGAAATATTTATGGGGATTTGAAACCACCGAGATTCGAACCAACGGTGCAAGAGAATTAGTTTCGATTTTCTTTTCTTGGGGGATAAGAACGCCCAAAAAAAAAAAAAAAAAAAAAAGCTTTTTAATGGAAAATTTCAAAATCTGTTTTTACAGAGCTCGTTTTTGTTGGCGCGCTAATTAATGTGGACGTTGTCCATGAACTTACCAACTCGCTCTGCGCGCGTGTACTTCACGTATCAATACCGCATCTGACAAAATCCGAAGATTCTTTTGGATAATTCTTATCCACATATTTCGAGAAAAAGTTGTTATTGGTTTCCTTAATTTTAGATTCCCTAATTTTTAATTCATTTTTACTTTTCTAATTTTTTCTATATGAAATTTTCTAAAAATATATATTATTGAAAAGAGTACTTAAAAATATTTGTGTCACCAAACCAAAATTTTAGGTCATCTAAAAATACAATTCCTCACTTAACTCTCACGTGCCAAATTCACAAAATTTTGAAAGAGTAATTAAAAATATTTGTGGCTTAATTTCTCTTAATTAAAATAAAATAAACAAAATTTTTGACTTGTGATTATCCTCTACCAGGTCAGATCACATGTTTCACATGCCATAAAAAATATTTTAGATTCCTCCTTTCTTAATAATTCTAATGATATAAAACCACATGTTTCACATGCCATAAAAAAATATAATTATTATAGTATTTAAATAAAGATGGTAACTTGTTATAATATAGAATCATTTTTTCTGCCTATTTATAAATATATATTAAACTATAAATAGTTTATCGAAAAATTCTTAGATAATGGATCGTAAGAGTTTAAGCTCTATTATAATAGCGAACGAGACGACGAGGAAACTTTGAGGCACTCTTAGGGTAATGTATTTAGTGTTGTACCTAAAGTTAAAATAATATTTAAAACGGTATATCTTTTAATTTATTTTAGTTTATATATTTGTAGTTCACATTTTTAGACCATAAGTAAAATTACTCGAGCCAAAATGGAATAAAATTTTGATACATAAAATCTTAAATAATTTTAAAAATATTATTCTAAAAACTTTTAAAATGATTTGTAATTACCAATGTAGAATAATTTATTCGTTAATAATATTTGAAAATCATAATGATATGTCCATTTTAGATTAATATTAATTATTATTCAAAAAAATTAAATATTTGGGTACGTATTTATAAATTCAATTTTTTTTTTCAAATTTTAGAATTAAGTATATGATTGTTTTAAATTAACATTAATAATTAAATTGAAATAAATTATTAATATATTTTAATTGAAAAATGAAACTGAATTATTTACATGTTATTTATGTGTTTATGGAGTGGTAATGTTAAATATATATTTTTAAATTGCAAATAACTTACATGTGATATTTTTTAACGCATAAATTAAAAGAGTTTTTAAAAATACATTTTAATAATTTAATTAATTAGTATTATATAATTAAGACATTATTAAATCAAAAAAAAAAAAAAGGGGTAAAGGCTCTTGAGTATCTCTGGAATTAACTTAAAATGTTATATGATTAAACTAAAAATAATTAAAATTTACATGGTAAGTTTTTCAAAATTGTCCATTTTATAATTTTAATAATAAATTTAAAATACTTGTATCAAATAAATATGGCAGAATAATTTAAAATATTTTAATTAATGTTAACTAAAAATAATTAAAATTACATGGCAAGTTTTTCAATATTTTCTATTTTTAAAATTTTAATAATTACTTTGAAATATTCATATAAAATAAATATAGCAAAATAGTATAATAAAAAAATTAACAGCTTCATGACCTAATCCAATTCAATCCGAAAATAGAAGGTGGAGTTGGATTAGTTTGGATTAAGTTGTCAAACCCTATCATTGGAGTCATCAATCCAACCCCAAAATTTATAGTTTGACTCAACTAACTACGTACTTACAACAATGGTATTTTTGTAATTTTTTTAAAAAATATTTAAAATATTAATGAAAGTTTTGGAATATATTTAAAATAAAGTATTAATAATTCGATCCAATAGTGACGTTTGGGAATTTTTAGGACAAAATGGCTATTTTTATTAATTTAACATTTTATAAACTAAATTTAATTATTTCAAATTAATGAGATTTTTTTTAATTAAATTTAATTAATTTTATAACATATTTTTGACATTTCACCGAAAGTTATCTAATTGTTGCAACAATTATATATATATAATAAATTTTAAATTAACTTTCAATTATTCAAATATTGAATAATATAAATTATAAATGGTTGACAAATATTGCAACATATATGTTAGTATTATTATTATTATTTATAAAATTATTGATACTAAAAAGAGAGAAAAAACCAAAATTCTACCTATACAATATAATTCAAGAAATTATTATTATTATTATTATTATTATTACTATTATTATTATAAGTTTGAAATTTGAATCCCAACAATAATGCTATTAATATCCAATAAATATCAAACTAAATAATTGTTTTCCACTCCGACTTTCTTTAATGATCAAAACATTCTTCATCTCTAGTTAAATATGGCTTATGATCGTGTAAAAATACAAGTTGGGGGCGATAATTATAAATATTTGTTTTCTTCTTTTTTCTCTTCTTTCTTTTTTTTTTCCACACCCATGCAGCTACGTTTGAAGTCCGCAATAATTGTGTCTTCACTGTTTGGGCTGCCGCAGTACCGGGCGGTGGACGACAGCTTAATCAAACAGATGTTTGGACATTCGAAGTGAAACCCGACCTTAAGGATGTTCGTATTTGGGCTCGAACCAACTGCAGCTTCGATGAATCAGGTCGCGGTAGATGTGAGACTGGTGATTGTGGTGGCCTCCTCGAGTGCCAAGCTTACGGTACTCCGCCCACCACCCTCGCCGAATACACATCGACCCAATTCAATTTGTTCAAACTGGACCTCTTTGATATATCTCTCGCCCATGGCTTTAATGTTCCCACGGAGTTCAGCCCAACTTCTTGCAGATGCACTGGTGGTGGGGTCAGTGGCATCAGGTATATTAAATTAGGTTAAATTAATAAAATATTCCTAAACTTTATATTTTATTTAAAAATTATAATAAAAGTTTTCAAATATACACCTCTCGTACTTTATTTCAAAAGCCTTATTGTTTTATTCATATTCTTACAAAGCTGCACAGCGGACATCAACAGACAGTGCCCAACGGAGCTGAGAGCTCCTGGAGGCTGCAACAGCCCTTGCACAGTGTTTGGTAGCGATCGATACTGCTGCACTGCCCGACACAGCAAATGCGGGTCGACAAATTACTCCAGATTCTTCAAGAGTCGGTGTCCACATGTTTACAGTTACGCAAAAGACGGTGCCTCCAGCACCTTTACTTGCCCTGGAGGAACCAACTATAGAGTCGTCTTCTGCCTTTAGAACCCTACAATATTAAAACCACAACTTTGCTCAGAATAAGTAACCGCTCCCATATTCATATATATATGGAGCAGTTGTAATAAGAGCGGGATGGGATGGAAAATTAGCACATATAATATTTTCAACGGACCATAAAAATATTTTTTTTTCCTCAATTTATATGCATATATTGAAATTTCGAACTAATAATTATATCAATCTAAACTTTAAGCAACTCTCGTACACATTCAGAGTTAACCCCCATACTTCAGGATTTAAGCTTTTATTGAAGTAAGAACAATTAAATTAAAAAAATTAACATTTCCTACAAAATTGAGATCAACTAACAATACTAAAATTAGAATCTTGTTTTAAATTTGAGCCGTGTTAGAATCTAATTTCATGATTCAGAGGTTATGATTAGGGGTGTACATTCAACCGGGCAACAGGACAACCCGAACTATAAGGGTTGGGTTGGATTGGATTAACATTTCGGGTAGAGTTGGGTTCATTTTTATGAACCCGAACTGAATCGATTTGATTTCGGGTTTGTGGGACACAACCCTCGGGTTGACCCGAGCAACCCGATTCAAATTACAATATATAAATTATATTAAGAATTCTGTTGTATTGGTTCTTTTTATTATTTTGTTTAATTTCTTTTTATACCTATTTCTTTTCTTTTTATTATTTTGTTTAATTTCTTACCTATTATTTTGTTAAAGGTTTGGGTTATAAATTATATATACATAAATAATTTTAAAGCGTAATCTAAATTTTAATAGATTTATTATCTATTTTTATAATATTATTATATCCCAATTTATATACATTTTTAGTTTTTTAATAATTTAGGATTGGGTGACGTCACATGCACATATTTCGATTCAAATATTTTTATATATTTTTTATTTTTGTTATATACAATATCTTTAAATTAATCATTTTTATTGTTTATTTAATTGTATGCTCTATCGTTCTATTTTTGTTACCTTAACCAATTCTAAAAAAATATAGCTATCTAGTCGTCTTTAGTTTTGTGATAATGTTTAACTATGTTAATATTTAAGAATTTTCTCTCCTTGTTTTTTACTGAATTTATTTATTTTTGTTTGTGAATAATTATAAATTGATTTGTGTCTGTTTGTGAACTTTTAATATATTTTAGATAAAAATTGTATCCAAACAATTATAAATCGTGGATTAATAAAACTTAAAAAAAAAAAAATTAACAACCCAACTCGAACCCAACCCGAAAATAAAGGGTTGGGTTGGGTTGGGTTGTGAAAAGTTTTGGGTTGGGTTGGATTACCAATCCAACCAACCCGAACTTTTGGGTTGGGTCAAAAAAATCCCTCAACCCAACCCAACCCGGACCATCTATACCCCTAGTTATGATGTCCCACATTCGTGGGAGAGGAGAACAAAACACAGTTACTATATTTATTCCTTTTTCTACTTATTCTTCCATACAGAATAACTCGGGTTGCGGATTTTTTCTACCAATTGGGGGCCCTCCCTTCACCACCCCCTAGGGGATGGTCTACAGGGTTCATAACTACTCCTCTTACTATAGGACGCTTACCTAGCCAACATTTAGATCCGGTTCTACCCAAACTTTTCTGGTTTACCCTGCATTCCCCACTTGTCCGACTGTTGTTGAGCAATTTTTGGATATCAAATGGACCTCTCCATAAGGTAATTTTAATGTGGCCGATTTTCCCTCTTTTGCAATCAGTTTCGTTAGTTGGAGAGGAGAACAAAACACCTTTTATAATAAGATATACGTAGCCTTCTATATATTTAATAAGAATTATAAAAGTATTAATTCATAAAAAGAGAGAAAATACCAAAATTCTCCATTATTGATATGAATATAATTCAAGAAATTATTATTATTATTATAAATGTGAAAGTTTAAATCTTCCGTCAATAATGTTACTCCTCTCTAATAAATATCAAATTAAATAATTGTTTCGACTTTCTTTAAAGATCTAAATGTTCATAATATCTATTTAACTACGATTCTGTAAAGATGTAAGTTTAGGAAGATGATGAAGACCAAGACGAGGATGATAGTTGTGAATATTTGTTTTCTTCTTTTATCTCTTCTTTCTTTTTGTTTCCATGTCCATGCGGCTATCTTTGAAGTACGCAACAATTGTCTCTTCACTGTTTGGGCTGCCGTAGTGCCAGGCGACGGACGACAGCTTAATCAAACAGATGTTTGGACACTCGAAATGAAACCCGACATTAAGGGTGCTCGTATTTGGGCTCGAACCAACTGCAACTTCGATGCATCGGGTCGTGGTAGATGTGAGACTGGTGACTGTGGTGGCCTCCTCCAGTGCCAAGATTACGGTACTCCGCCGAACACCCTCGCAGAATATTTATCATACGAATATGATATCACGAACTTGGAGATGGGTGATATTTCTCTCATCGATGGATTTAATGTTCCGATAGAGTTCAGCCCCACTTCTAGCAAATGCTCTGGCGGCAGTATCCGGTACATTAAATTAATAAAATATATCTATATTTTATTAAAAAATATCTTTAAATTTTCAAAAGTTTCCCTGATCTATTGTTTGGATGAAAATTAACTTTTTAATTTTCAAAACAATTAAAAATTAAGTTCTCTTAAAATTTCATTCATATCTCGAACCCTTTTGAAAAATATTTTTTTAGAAGAAATATAAAATATAAAATTGTTATTTTTATTAATTTAGCCTATTAAATTATCCTCCCATTCAAAAGGTCAAGTAACGTTGGGTAAGTTATATAGTAAATAAATTTATTGTCTTATTGATGTTCTTATAAAGCTAAGCTGCACAGCGGACATCAACCGACAGTGCCCAAAGGAGTTGAGGGCTCTTGGAGGCTGCAACAATCCTTGCACCGTGTTCGGTGGCGATCGATACTGCTGCACTGTCCCGGACAGCAGCTGTGGGTCGACAAGTTACTCTAGATTCTTCAAGAATTTGTGCCCAAATGCGTACAGTTACTCAGAAGACATTGCCACTCATGTATTTACTTGTCCCAAAGGAACCAACTATAAGTATACAGTCGTCTTCTGCCCTTAGAACCTTACAATGTATAAACCAACACTTTGCTCCGAACAAGTAAGAGCCCTCATATTTATATATATATGGAGGAGTTGTAATAAGAGCCAGTTGAGTTGAAAAATTAGGACATTATAATATTTTCAAATGGAGCATAAAAACATTTATTTTTCCTCAATTTATAAGTATATATTGAAATTTCAAACTAAAATTGTATCAATCTAATCTAAACGGAGTAGCAATATACTTCACAATTCAAGTATTTATTGAATCAAGAACGTTAATTACCTTGTACAAAATTGAAAAACACAAGGCCCAGTTTCGAGTCTAGGTTAAGCCCAGCCCAATATATAAGTACAACGACCCACTTTCGTTAAAACCCAAAAAATATCAGACAAAGCCCAGCCCAATACCTATACGCCCAAATGGGCCTACTTTCGTAAAATCCAAAACAGATCAGACTAGCCCAAGTCCAATACGCGCTGCTCGAATGGGCCTAATTTCGAGCCGAAGGACTAAGCCGAGTCCAATATATAAGCTCAATGGGCCCACTTTCGTTAAAACCAAAAACAGAGCAGACGAAACCCTTCCCATTATATTGGGCCCAGTTTTGAGCCCATTCCTAAACCCATACCAATATATAGAAGCCCAATATGCCCACTTTTGTTAAAGCCCAAAAGAGATCAGACCAAGCCTAGCCCAATATGTACAGGCCCAAATGGGCCATGTTTCGTCAAAACCCAAAACAGGCAAGGTAAAGCAAAAATAGAGTTCGGAAGCTTTTCTCTATCAGAGCCAGGTTTCGATCCTGGGACCTGTGGGTTATGGGCCCACCACGCTTCCGCTGCGCCACTCTGATTTGTTGACTATATGGTTAAAATTATTATATAAATATATTTTAATTTAGAAATATGAAAATTCGTTGAATTTCACGTATTTGTCTATAAATCTAAACAAAGTGAGAACAAAATTAAATCCTTTTTTCACCTCCAATTATTTATTTCTATTATATATATTTTTTACTAACATTTTATATTCCTGGTTCTTGCTTCATACAAAATTGAATATTTTTATTAATTTAACCTTTTATAAACTAAACTCAATTATTTCTTTATTATTCAAATTAATGATTTTTTTAAAAAAAATTGAATTTAATTAATTTATAATATATTTTTTCAAGAAAGTTATCTAACTGTCGTAATAATTATATATTTATTAAATAAACTTTCAATTATTTAAATATTGAACAGTATTGATTAAAAAGGGACAAAATGGGAAGAAAGTCTCTATTAGAGTCTTCGATCGATTATAGATCATAGATGGTTGAGAATTATTATTATTATTATTATTATTTAAAAGTAGTTTTCAATTTTTCAAATATTACCTTGACTAAATACACAGTAAATTAAATATCAACCATTTTTATTTTAAATTATTTTGACCATTATAATAAGATATACGTAGCCTTCTATATATTTAATAAGAATTATAGAAGTAATAATTTATAAAAAGAGCACTTTATTATTGATATATATAATTCAAGAAATTATTATTATTATTATAAATTTGAAAGTTTGAATGTTCTCTCCCTAATATTATTCCTCTTTAATAAATATCAAATCAAATAATTGGTTGGACTTTCTTTAAAAGATTGAAATGTTCTTCGATCTCTAGTTAACTACGACTTAGGATCGTGTCAAGATGCAAGTTAGGAATATGGAAACAAAGATGAAGATGATAATTATGAATATTTGTTTTCTTTTTTCTCTTCTTTCTTTTTGTTCCCACACCCATGCAGCTATCTTTGAAATCCGGAACAATTGTGACTTCACTGTTTGGGCTGCCGCAGTGCCAGGCGGTGGACAACAGCTTAATCAAACTGATGTTTGGACACTCGAAGTGAAACCCGACGTTACGAATGCTCGTATTTGGGCTCGAACCAACTGCAACTTCGATGCGTCAGGTCGTGGTAGATGTGAGACTGGTGATTGTGGTGGCCTCCTCCACTGCCAAGCTTATGGTACTCCGCCCACCACCCTCGCCGAATATATATCCTACCAGTTTGATATCTTGAACTTAGACATTGGTGATATTTCTCTCACCGATGGGTTTAATGTTCCGATAGAGTTCAGCCCCACTTCTAGCGAGTGTACGGGTGGCAATATCAGGTAAATTAAATTAAATTAAATTAAATTAAATTAATAAAATACCTCTAAATTTTATATTTTATTTAAAATTACTATTATTATTATTTTTTATTTATTAATTTAGCATACGACAATTCAAAAGGTTAAGGTAGGTTGGATAAGTTATATAGTAGATTTATTGTGTTATTTATTCTTATAAAGTTGCAAGGCGGACATCAACAGACAGTGCCCGAAGGAGCTGAAGGCTCCTGGAGGCTGCAACAATCCTTGCACTGTGTTCGGTGGTGATCGATATTGCTGCACTGCCCGAGACAGTAGCTGCGGGTCGACAGGTTACTCCAGATTCTTCAAGAATATGTGCCCATATGCGTACAGTTACCCAAAAGACATTGCCCCCGTTGTGTTTACTTGTCCCGGAGGAACCAACTATAACTATACAGTCATCTTCTGCCCTTAGAACCCTATAATATAAAAGCCAACACTTTGCTTAGAATAAGTAAGAGCTCACATATTTATATATAGAGTGGTTGTAATAAGAGCTGGATGGGTGAGTAGCAACAATATTTCACACAATATTAGAACTAGATTATCCTTTTAGATCAAACCATAATCCTAATTGAACTTGATTTTTATTGAATCTCATGTAATTTACCTCTTCTTGCAAGAGAAACTGCCTTAAAATACCCATTGAAAGAAGTTATGACTATTCTGTGTTTCTCCAGGAGACCTTGTGCCAATGAAGATAGTATTCTTTAATTATAAACTCAGGATCATTCCCTAAATTAGCCGATGTGTGGGACTTTCATCCAACACACACCACCTTTCAAATACTCATGCCATAATTTATGAAATTAAAATAATAAATAAAATATCGCTATTTATGACAACCTAAGTTGCACTTCAACCTTGCAAACTTTGACTTCCAAAACTCCAAAGGGTCATTCCAAATCTCTAAATATATTGTGTGCTTGGTTTGCTTGGTGAGATGTCTTAGTCTTGCACCGTTCTTTTGTCTCGAACTAAATTGGACTGGTCCAATTGAATCAACCAAATTGATTGATGGGAAATAGTTATCCTTTCTTTAGTCTCGTGCACGTCGTTGTTTTATGAGATTCTTACTCTAGCGAGCAACTTCGTTTTGTCCTCCAACGGACTCTATCGTTGATATGAATATAATTCAAAAAAATATTATTATCATAACTTGAAAGTTTTAACCTCACATCTCAAATAAAGATCAAACTCAATATCAGTTTCCAACTCAACTTTCTTTAAAGATCTTCATCTCTAGTTAACCATGACTCACTAAAAGTCTAGAAAGATAGAATTTTTTTAATTCATTCCCACCAAAGGATGATCGTCATCGTAGAAGAATTGTAAATATAATTCAAAGACATTATTATTATTATTATTATAAATTATAAAGTAATGTTATTTATCTCTAATAAATATCAAATTAAATAATTGTTTTGGATTAGACTATTAAAATGTTCTTCATCTCTAGTTAACTACGACTTACGACCGTGTAAAGATGCAAGTTAGGAAGATGGGAACGAGGACGGGGATGAAGGCAATAATTATGACTATTTGTTTCCTTCTTTTTTCTCTTCTTTCTTTTTGTTCCCACACTCGTACAGTTACTTTTGAAGTCCACAACAATTGTCTCTTCACTATTTGGGCTGCCGCAGTACCAAGCGGTGGACGACAGCTTAATCAAACAGATGTTTGGACATTCAAAGTGAAACCTGCCCTCCAGGGTGTTCGAATTTGGGCTCGAACCAAATGCAACTTCGATGTGTTTGGTCGCGGTAGATGTGAGACTGGTGACTGTGGAGGCCTCCTCCAATGCCAAGCTTATGGTACTCCCCCGAACACCCTCGCCGAATATACATCGTACCTGTTCGATATCATGAACTTTGACATCGGTGATATTTCTCTCATCGATGGGTTTAATGTTCCGATGGAGTTCAGCCCCACTTCTCGCAAGTGTACTGGTGGCAGCATCAGGTATATTAAATTAGATTAAGTTAATAAAATACCTCTCAACTTTATATTTTATTTAAAAGATTATTACTAAATTTTTTTTTTAATATAATTTTAGATGAAATACAAAATTTAATTTTTTTTAATTAATTTAACATATTAAATTAAGGTTAAGTTAGGTTGAATAAGTTATAGAGTAAATTTATTGTGTTATTCATATTCTTATAAAGCTGCACGGCGGACATCAACGGACAGTGCCCAAAGGAGTTGAGGGCTCCTGGAGGCTGCAACAATCCTTGCACCGTGTTCGGTGGCGATCGATACTGCTGCACTGCCCCAGACAGCAGTTGTGGGTCTACAAGTTACTCTAGATTCTTTAAAAATCTATGCCCAGATGCATATAGTTATCGTGACGACGTTGCCAAAAATGTATTTACTTGTCCTAGAGGAACCAACTATAACTATAAAGTCGTCTTCTGCCCTTAGAACCCTACAATATAAAAACCAACGCTTTGCTCAGAGTAAGTAAGAGCTCACATATTTATATATATGGAGTAGTTGGAATAAGAGCGTGATGGGTTGGAAAACTAGCACATATGATATTTTCAATGGATAATAAATTCTTTATTCTCAAATGAGTACTCTCATATTCAGGGATTCGAGTAGCAACAATATTTTACGATTTAAGCTTTTGTTGAAGTAAAAACGGTTAAATTAAAGAAATTAACACGTTCTTATAAAAAATTTAAGACGAACACTAAAAATATTATCTTCTACATATTTAAAAACTCCATAGAAACCCATGTTCATAATCATCTGCTTTTCAAGTCCGCAACAACTGTCCCTTCACTGTTTGGGCTGCCGCAGTGCCCGGCGGTGGACGACGGCTTAATCAAAATGATGTTTGGACATTCAACGTGAATCTTGGCACTGTTGCCGCTCGTATTTGGGCTCGAACCAACTGCAACTTCGATGCGTCGGGTTGCGGTCGATGTCAAACTGGCGACTGTGGTGGCCTCCTCCAGTGTCAAGCTTACGGTACTCCCCCGAACACCCTAACCGAGTACGCGTTGAACCAATTCAATAACTTGGACTTCTTTGATATTTCTCTCGTTGATGGATTTAACGTTTCGATGGAGTTCAGCCCGACCTCTGGCGGATGTACTCGTGGCATCAGGTATATTATATTAATTTGAAATAATAAAAATAGTCGTAAACTTTAAATATATTTTTATTTTTAAATATTTTAAACTTTTAAAAAGTTTGGTGGTTTATTCATATTCTTAATAAAGGTGCTCAGCTGACATGAACAGAGAGTGCCCAAACGAGCTGAGGGCTCCCGGAGGCTGCAACAACCCTTGCACGACGTTTGGTGGCGATCGGTACTGCTGCACTGCCCCCAAACAGCAGCTGCGGGCCAACAGAATACTCCATATTCTTCAAGAATCGGTGCCCAGATGCGTACAGTTACCTAAAAGACGATGCCACCAGCACCTTTACTTGCCTGGGAGGAACCAACTATAGGGTCGTTTTCTGCCCTTAGAACGCTACAATATAAAAACCAAAACTTGGCTCATAATAAGAGCTCCCATATGGAGCAATTGTAATAAGAGCTTGATAGATTCGAAAATTAGCACATATGATATCTTCAATAAACAATAAACACTTTTTTTAACTCGATTTAGACTTTAAATTTTGTGGATGTAGCTAATAATTGTATTTATCTTTATAGAACACAAAATAATATGAACAATAAAGTAATGTATCCATACAATTATTAGACTTTTGGTATGAAATGTTTGACATATTTTCTTGGAAGATTGAAATTTTTTGAAAGTATCCCACAACCCGAATTACCTTCGAGTTAAATCACCCTAAACCTAGCTTATTGGGCTAGCACTCACTGAAAAAAAAAAGTATATATAATTACTCTTTTTTACTTCGGAAAGAAAAAAAAAAGTATATATATGTATATAACGTGGGATTAGAGACCGGTTAAGGACATAAAATATAATTTGTACTTTCGATCCTATTAAGCTAATAAAGAAAAACCTTTCTACACTCGTTTGTTTAAACTGTGATTTAAGACAATTAATAAATGGACACGACCCAATGAAGTTGGAGTAGGCTATAATATAAGTGGGAAATAATTTTCCACGCCATGTTTAAGTGAATCAAAAGACCAAGACTTTGTCGGAGTCAAATCAATGAAAACTTGAAAGCATTTAATACTCTTAGCGTGTTCATTGTATTAGTTCATCTTTAAATCCTTCCCCCATTTTTCTCCTTCCCAGCACCAAATTTGGGCATGGAAGCCTCCATTGTTTTCTTCCTCCTCTTCCTCCTTCATCTTTTCTCCTTCCATTTCCATTCCCATGCAGCTTCTTCCCAAGCCATTTCCGACACTCAAAACCTACGGCAGCTTATAAATGACAATAATAATAGTCGGACATTCCACATTGATCCCAGTTCTGGTTGCTCCTGCATTCCGGTCGGAAATAGGGACACCGATGGCCTCCTCCAGCGCCAAGCTTACTCTTACTCTGACACCGATGGCCGTGGCAGCCTCCTCTGGTGGCGAGCTTACTCTTACTCTGAGGACATCGCCAAATATGTGTCCAACCAATTAAATAACTTGACTAACCACAATTTAGTGAAGATGATGTTATTTGTGTTAGTTGTTCCCATTTTAGAGTAATTGAAATTCAAAAAATTGTATTTGATGTTGCATCCATTTTTTTTATGAATAAATAATATATTATTATAATGTCGATATGATGACTAGATATTAGTATATCTAAATTACTATATAATGTCGATATAAACTATATAGAAATATTATTTGGTTCAACGTGGAAAGGTCCGCACCTTGTTTGGATGAATCCAAAGACCAAGACATAGTCCAAGTCAAGCCAATACCCCAAATTTCACTCTCAATGAAAATTCAAAGCATTTAATACTCTTAACGCGTTGATTGTACTAGTTCATCTTTAAATCCCAGCCCATTTTTGTCTTTCCGAGCACCAAACTTGGGCATGGGAGCCTCCATTAATTGCTTCCTCATCTTCCTCCTTTATCTCTTCTCCTTCCATGTCCACTCCAACGCAGCTTCGTCTCAAGCCATTTCCGACACTCAAACCTTACGGCAGCTTATAAGTGACAAAGATAATAATTGGGCATTCGTCGTGGATCCCAGCTCCGGTAGCTCCTGGATTTCGGTCGGAACTAGGGACCCCGGCGGCCTCCTCCAGTGGCAAGCTTATGTGGATCGTGGCCGTGGCAGCCTCCTCCGGTGGCGAGCTTACGTAGATCAATTATTGTGATGTTGTTGTTATCAATTTGTAACTTTGTTTTGTTTCTCAAATTTTAAGAAATAAATATGTTTCTAAATTATTAAGTATCAATTTGTTGCTCAATTTGTAACTTTGTTATCTCTTCTTCCCCTTTTTCCCTCTCTCTCTTCAAGTTAATATCAAGTATTATAATGTATTCTAAAAATTGTAAAATATTTATTTATTAATTTAAATGTATATATATTGTTAATTTTGGTTTTATTATTATTATTTTTCAATATTATTGATTAAATTTTAACAAATACCATGGTTAGTTGAAAATTGACATTGTTGCAAATAGTAATTGTGACACTCGAGTAAACGAGGAATACATTAATGAATAGAGAGTCAGAGACCAGATTCAAATGAGAGCGATGCCGAGAATAGAATTATTAAAATAGAGTTAAAATAATTGAAAACCACTACTTGTACTAATGAGCTGCACCTTCCTTTTCGGTGGCTCAATCATAAAAACTTTATGATTAATGTTTTATTTGGAGCAATTCTATGTTGGGCGACCTAATAGAAATTTTCTTAAGATGCATGTGAGTGAAGACAAAGCATGCTAGAATGACTCGTGTTGCAAGAGAATGTCTGGATCGTCATATACCGATTCTGAGCTGGGGCATGGGGCGTTACAGTCATCCTAAATGATGTCAGAAGTTTGTGTTAGTTCTAAACTGACATCCTAACTAACCATCATCCTATTATCATCATACTCTATGATGACACTATAATGTAGCCATCCTAAATTTTTATTTAACTTAAAGTCGCTACCGTATATATAACATAATCATTTTCTGCTAAAATAATTATTTGAAATATTATCATAAAACATTTCCGATACTTTCTTTCTCTTCTCTCCCTTTATTCTCACACCAATGCAGCTACTTTCCAAGTCCACAACAACTGCCCCTTCACTGTTTGGGCAGCTGCTTCTCCCGGCGGAGGACGACAACTCGATTCCAATCAGGATTGGACATTCGACGTGAATCCCGGCACTGCTGGAGCTCGCATTTGGGCTCGAACCAACTGCAACTTCGACGGTTCTGGTCGTGGCAGTTGCGAAACCGGAGACTGTGGAGGCCTCCTCCAATGTCAAGGTTACGGTGCTCCGCCGAACACCCTGGCCGAATACGCGTTAAACCAATTCAACAACATGGACTTCTTCGATATCTCTCTTGTGGATGGGTTCAACGTTCCAATGGATTTTAGTCCGACTTCTGGTGGGTGCAGGGGCATCCGGTGCGGCGTAGACATCAAGGGACAATGCCCCAACGAGCTGAGGGCTCCTGGAGGCTGCAACAATCCTTGCACCGTGTTCAAAACGGACGAATTCTGCTGCAACTCCGGCAACTGTGGGCCGACCCCTTTGTCTAGGTTCTTCAAGGATCGTTGCCCCGATGCGTATAGCTACCCCAAGGACGATCCAACCAGCACCTTTACTTGCCCCGGTGGAACTAACTATAAGGTTGTGTTTTGCCCTTAAAAAAATATATTTATAATAATCACAAAACTATAGTCTAAATAATTAAGAGCTCATATATATATATATATATATATGAGTCTTGCTTCATTTCCGTATGCATTAGTTTTCTTCTATTATATATGTATGCGAGTATTTGAGTGATTGTAATAAGTTAATTATATTTCGATTTCAACAGTAATCTCGTCTCTTTTATATATATTAAAGTTTTCCATTTTAATTTTGGACGATGATAATAATAATAATAATAATAATAAGAAAATAAAATAAAACAAATACATTTATGATTAGTATAGGGAGGAAACTCTTAATTTCATGTTTAAAAAATACTTCTAAACTTTCGAAACTAACGTTAATACTCTTAAATATTTAGAAAAAAGTGAAAAAATATTTACTCCTAATTATTAAAATTGAAGATGGAAATGGTCTACGAGAGATGACAGTAAAAATATTTTATATTGAAATTTTTAGAAATTTAATCAGATAGATAAAGATTAAACCATCAAATATTTAAGATAATGATTAATATTTTATCCATCTAATTATGCGTTTACCAGGACCACATAATTTGAACATATTGTTTTTTTTATACTTATTCAAAGTACTAAATTTTAAAATATTTAGTTGTATATTTAAAAAAAAATACTTGTTATGTCTCAAAATCATTTCTTTTAGCATAATTGTGTGTGAAAATTGAGTTAATTGAGCATTAAAATTGTAATTAATATTTTATTCATCCAACTATTTTAGATAAATTATAGTATTATTATCTTATTTTACTCATTACATTTTGAAAAAAAAAATATATATATATTTTTCTTTGTGGTGGCTTGTGGACTGTACCAGGTCAAAGCCAGACGATAAGTCGTCCTCCTAATTCACTGTACCCAGTCAAGCCAGACGATAAGTCGTTTTCTAAATTTCCAAGCAATCTTAGGTACATAAATATTTAAAGAAGAATTCATTTGATTTTTAAAGTTAATATTTTAAATTTGTAATCATTTGATTTTTAAAGTTAATATTTTAAAAATCTTAATCAAAATTTGAAAACTAACAAAATAATTTAATTCTCATAAGATTTTCTATTTTTTTATTTTATATTCTTAAATTTTGAAGAACAATAGATTTTTTGTTTTGATTTTTATTAAAAAATTAATCTTATAAACATTATTTTTAATTCTTATTTTTGTCTTTAAAATTTAGTTAAGAATATTAACTGGGAACAAGCTTTTTCTCTAAAAAAAAAATTATTTTTACTTTTATTTCTATATGTACTATATATATTTTAAATTTTGATTAAAACATTAAAAAAAAAAAAGAAAAAAGAAAAAAGAAGTACTAAATTATTATAAAATTGATATTAATTTATCGACGTGGACCACTATTTTTGGTTAGTGGGGAACTCTTTTCCAAATGGGATTTGTGTTTATATTCCAAACCCACTTTAAGCTCGTGATGTTCTCTAATTTCCTACATAAACCTCATTAGATCGGTTGTTTAAGCACAAAGCTTATGAAGATCACCATTTTCTTTCTCCTTTGCTCCACGCTTTTCTGCGTCAAATATGCGGATGCAGCCACTTTTAAAGTCCGCAACAATTGCCCTTTCACCGTTTGGGCGGCCGCTGTACCGGGCGGCGGACGAAGGCTCAACCGTAATGAGGTATGGACATTCTGGGTTAACCCCGGCACTGCTGCCGCTCGCATTTGGGCTCGAACCAACTGCAACTTTGACCAGTCTGGCAACGGACGATGTCAAACTGGGGACTGTGGTGGTCGCCTCCAATGCCAAGGCTACGGCGCTCCGCCCAACACCCTAGCTGAATACGCATTGAACCAATGGAACAACTTGGACTTCTTTGATATCTCGCTTGTCGATGGGTTTAACGTTCCAATGGAGTTCAGTCCCACTTCTGGTCGGTGCAGGGGCATCAGCTGTCGGTTTGACATCAACGCACAGTGCCCGAACGAGCTGAGGGCTCCGGGAGGCTGTAACAACCCGTGCACTGTCTTCAAGAGCGACCGGTATTGCTGCAACTCCGGCAACTGTGGAGCCACCTGGTACTCGAGATTTTTCAAGGACAGGTGCCCCAGCGCTTACAGTTACCCCAACGACAATCCAACCAGCACCTTCACTTGCCCCGGCGGAACCAATTATAGGGTTGTTTTCTGCCCTTAATATCTAGGGGTGCCCTTAAACCAAACATGCAAAAATAAATAATGGTGCGCTCATCCGCCCTTCATATATGATGTTTAATCCTTATTACGTGGTATGCTTTGTGTTTTTAAAGATAATATACACATGTGTGAGCCTGTTTCAACTATGGTCGACCCTATTAACAATTCACCTAACTCTCTTAGTAAACATCATTTTTCTAATTTAATTCAATTTAAATTGAGGAAGTAAACTCGGACCTTATACAAACATCATTTACCTGGGCTTCCGAAGGGTCAAAAATCTAAGAAACGAAATATTAATGTCATGCGAGATGAGGGAGTCGGCGTCTCCATGCGTGACACGTTTCACTCTAAGGAGGTGACGCGTGTCAGTGTCGTTCCGAGTCAAGGTGGACTCCGGGTCGCGTCTTCAGGTTTCGGGTTGCAGGCGGCTGTGGGTTGGGCCGTATCCTCAGGTGGGCTTCGGATTGACTTCTGCTCGGCCTACTCACTGGTTGGTGCATCCGAATCTCCGACTGGGCTGCACGCTTCTGGGCTGTTTATCCCATTGGGCCGTCAACGTTTCTAGGCCGTATGTACAGATAGGCTTACGCCGTGGGTTGAGTCCGACCCGGATCCGAGTCCGGTGGACTTCATCTTCTTCACCCGTTTTCACACGATTTTCCGACGATGTTTCCGGCGTTGTTTCTTTACCATAACGGCTAAAATATTTATAACCTTATAATTAAGATTTAAAGAGCAAAAAAAAAAAAAAAAAAAAAAAAAAAAAATTAATTTAGAGATGAAAAATAACTAAAATATATATAATAGTCAATAATTTAATATTCAAGAGAAATTTGGTAATTTAAAGTTAATTATTTTTTCTATAAATATTTAAATATTGTCCTTACACTTCATTACCTATAATCTTCTACCAAAATACATTTCGTCTGTGATAACTGAAATTTATGGCGACTTATATTCTAAACTATCAACTCGTCATATTCATCGGACTTCTTGTCGTCGTCACTCACACCTCGATGGTCGCTTCTGACCAGAGCTTGTTTTATCGACGCTTTGGGGGGTATATCAACCGAGATGAAGACGGATGGTGTTTATTTTCTTTGAAAGCTCTCTGCACGAAGTTATTAAGGGATCAAATTCAATTCATAATCAAGTTCCTCCCCATCTTCTAAATTATTCCCACCAATTTACTGATGGATTCTTTATGATATTATATTAAAAAAAATTGGTGGTGTTTTTCACGGAAACCTTATTTTTTTCTAGTTCAATGTTACATGTGATAAATTTTATATCTTATAAATAGTTATCATGGGTGTTACGAGAGAGAATGAATGTTTTTGGTGATTCTCTCCGTTAAGTTCCAATGGACGAGTCCAAACTGTAATAGTTCAAGTCCACAGTTATCATATATAATAATAAATTTTATATCATTATAATAATTTATTAATAAAATAATAATATACCTTAAATTTTAATTTAATTTTCATTTATTAATAATTATAGTAAAATGTATTAAATTTTAGATTTTTGTGTTCATATTAGTATTATTCATAAATATTGTATACACTAAAAATATGTTATTTTGGTATATAGTTTTCTATTTAATTTTAAATACATTGATTTTTAGATGAAAAAAATAGTTAAATTATTAAAATGACCAATAATTCAACAATGAGAAGAGAGCCTACTTCTTTACTTAAGTCCCCTAATTTCCCTCTAAATACTTCAATAATCTTGTTATAATATTCATTATCGGGTTTTTTCTCTTTTTTTATTGGATTGGTCGTTAATAGAATTATATAGTCGTATGTTCAATTTTATATCTTATAAATCTTTAGCACTCAGTTGTATTAATTAAATATTTTCTAAAATTTTTAATCTTCGCATCAAAATTTTATATAAATATAGTATTAGAAACTATGCGAGACATATATATTATTCTATATTTTGATAAGATAAAAATATGGTACCATATTAGCGAAGATTTATAATATAATCTTAGTAAGAACAATATTTTTTTATATAGACTAGCGCACCACAAAGGTTCATAAGGTATATACATAACAACGAAGATATAACAATTAAGATATGACAGGTAAGATATTAAAAGTGATGAAGAATTCTACCATTAGGAGAAGATTTTGTTGATTTAGAAATTAATTATTTTCTACAGTCAGATATAACCGTTAACATATTTAAAGTGATGAAGAATTCTACCATTAGGAGAAGATTTTGTTTATTTTGTTTATTTTATTGATTCAAAAATTAATTATTTTCTCAATATCTTGAATATTCTCTTTATAATATTCATCATCTATTTTCTTCTATTAAATACCTCTGGTTTTTTATAATTGGAATTCATGGCGGCTCATCATTTTGTCATTTTCATAGGACTTCTCATGGTCGTCACCCATGTCCCGGCGGTCACTTCTGACCAGAGCTTGTTTTACCGACGTTTTGGGGGAATATCCACAGAGATGTAGATGGGTAGTGTTGATTTTTTTGGAAGATCTCTACCCGTAGTCCCAGTGGGTCCAGACCCAATTCATAACCGTGATCCTCTTCCACCTGCTCGGTTCTAAATATGTATTTGAGAAATTATCCTCATCAATTTACTAATGAACTCTTTATGGTGTCAATCAACATTAGTGGTGGTGTTCACCTAAACTCTTTTTCTATTTTTTTATTTACCATAGTATGGCTAATAAAAATTTATTGTCATTGCTCAATTTATATTCTATATGTCGTTATCATGGACCAGTCCAAACACTCTTCCTATTTCAAATCACATACATTTTTTTAGAAAATTTCTACTTAAATAAGAAATAAGAGAAAAAATTGGAATAAAATTTTCTCTATTGACTAAATGG